ATATATATATATATATATTTCTTGTTGTCTTGCCCCAAAGTTTAACGAAACTGTTTTTAATGACTGTATATATATTTACATAAATATATATAAATATATACTCGTACGTGTATACAAACGCAGAAGAGAGAGAGAGAGAGAGAGAGAGAAAGAAAGAAAAAACGAACAGTAAACTTTTTAAACTTCTTTAATCACAACATCAGACACAGGGTACATGCGCTTCTGCAAAAAGAAATGCAAGAGCCAATAGAAAAAAAAAGAAAAAAAAAAAAAACAACAAACATCGTACAAATATATATATGTATATTTATATATACATATAAGGTGAAGTACAGTTATCTGGGGTACAAAAAAAGAAAAAAAAAAAAGAGAAATAATAATAAGAGAGTAGCGGTCTACTGCGGTGGGGGAAGGGGGCTATGATAGCAAATAAGTAAAAAAAAGAAAAAAAAAATGTTCGTGAATGTAATTTGCATATGAGTGTGAGTATATGCCGCTCATCATATTTAGTAAATCAGATAGTAATAACAATAACAATATTGAAGAAAAAAAGAAAAAAAAAAGAAAAGAATGCAGACAAATTTGAAAAAAAAAGTAAACTAATGTGATACAAAGCTACGAATAGAAAGAGAGAGAGAAAAAAAAAGAAAAAAAACACAGTGAAGATACTTACAGTCCATTATTATTTCGTATACATTGCTGTATATATATATATATATATATATACATATATATGAATAATGGTGTAGCTTCTTCCCTTTTTTCTAATGTATGAAATACATACAGTGAGAAAAAAAGTGTTCTTGTTCTTTTTTTTCTCTTCTTCTTTTTTCTTTTCTTTTTTATTTATTTCCTTTTTATGTGTTTGTATTATTCTCTAACAATAGAAACATTCATAGATATATAGATATGTTATGAAAACTCTTCCCTCAGATGCCTCTGTGTCAAACATCACTGTAAACGCATATATACAAGTGCATAAAACTCTATACGGTTTTCCATGTTTGTTTACTGGCTGATTCTTTATATAGTTTTCTTTTTTTTTCTTTTTCTTTTTTTTTTTTTGCTTTTTTGTACTCTTCGGCCAAATTGTTCTCTTTTTATTTATTTATTTTTTTCTTTCATTTACTTCTCTCTTCATACCACAACTCTCCATAGTGGCTTCAAACTAGTACGATACTCCCTCTCTGCTGTACATTACAAAAAGACGTGTATGAAGAAAAAGAGATAAAGTGACCCCCTCCTCTCCCCCCCCCCCCCCAAAAAAAGCAAATAATGAAAACTCCTTTTTTTTTTTTCTTTCCTTTTCTTTTTTTCTTTTCTTTGTTTGTTTGCTTATTTATTTGTTTATCTTTCCAACACTATTGTAGTCATTTGTAGAGCTGGCTTTGTTAGGCAACAAGTGCTCATTAACAATTATAAGATTAATAATCAGTACAGTAATGGTATTCGTAATAAACAGCAAACCAAAGAAAGAAAGAAAGAAGAAAAGGAAAAAAAAAGAGCTTCAGCGGAGCAACTAACGTCCCAGAAGATATAATAACGATATCAGTATTACTATGATTACAAATTTTCTCTTTCCACTCGTTTCTTTTCTTTTTAAAGAAAGGGCGTAGGAAAAAGAGAAAGAATCAGAGATACCGTGATCCACATACATACTCACACTCTCTCACACAGACACAATAGAGTAAAAAGAGATAAAAAAAAAAATTATTCAAGCATCAACCCGCCATAAAACCATTTTCTCTTATCATATATATACATATATATATATATATATATATATATATTTCTTTTTTCTTTTTTTTTTTTTCTAATGACATACACATCTAAAAAGAAACAAGAATAATAATAATAATAATAATAAAGGATACAGTACAAAAAAAAAAAAAAATTCTCTCCCCTCACATGACGATACAGCAGCTGGCTTTCGGCTTGAGTTTCATATTTGGATTCATATAGGCCGGACTTGTTAACGGACATGGTCTATCCATAAGCACTTGAGACTCCGGCGTACTGTTGGCAACCCACTCTGCCGCTGGAGTGGAGGATGTACGTGTCCTTTCTGCTGTAGCTGCTGGTGCAGGTGATGGAGATGCGGTTGCTTTTGTTGGTGTTCGTACAGGTGATGTGGCTTCCACAGATGTACGTCGCAGAGATACTTTTGTAGCGGGTATTGGAGAAGTTCCCTCTGTTTTTGGTGTCAACTGCAATGGTAATGGATTTAATTTGGGTGTAGGAGGTTTTCCTGCTGGTGTTGATTTTACTGGTGTTGGTGTTGATGTTGGTGTTGGTACTCCTCCTCGGGTCTGTGATGGGGTTGTTAGTAATTCCCGTCCTTGTGGATTCTCCACTGTTCTCTTATGATTATCATCCTCTTCATCCATCTGATATTGATTTGTCTCATATTCCCGTTCTTGTGAAACTGCTAAGAGGCGCGGCAAACTCTTCTCCACGGTTCTTATGGATGGTGCTGCTGTGGATATCGCTGCTTTTGGTGGTGTTTGTGGTGTTTGTACTTCTTTTGCTGGCGTTTGTGGTGTTTTTATTGGTGTATGTGGTAGTGCCCCTTCTCGTCCCCTCTGTTGCAGTTGCCTTTCTTCTTCATATAATCGTCTTTCTTCTTCTTTCCATTCTTCTTCCGCAGCCAACCGTTTCATCTCTGAGAATGAAACCGCTTCCTCTCTCTCACCTTCACGAGGTAAAGAGGTTGATCCTCTTGGCTTCAGCAAAATATCTGTCTCTTCGGTGCCACCCGTCATATTGTAATCGCAGCGATGTGTAAATGCTGTATGGCCGCCATTTCCATTCCAATTTGTTGGCATTTCCCTCAATGGCTCTCCACTTTCCCCTGTTACTTCAATAACATCTATCACCGCAACATCCGATAGGGATGCAGCTGCTGTCGCACTTACATCACTCGTCACAGCTTTTATTTTGGGTGAAACTACAGTCGTTTCGTTCTTTGGCTTACTGTGTCGTCGTGATTTCATATATTGTCCTTCTCCAGCACGAGAGCGTGAAGTTGGTCCACGAGATCCAGTTTCATTTTCGCTTTCAGATGAGACCACCACATCAGGAGAACTCTGATAAGATCTTCCATAGAATCGTGGTGATGTTACTGCTGCTGCTCCCCCACTTAATGCATCTTTTTGAGTAGCAGGAACAGTAGCAATAGAATTCTCACGACTTACAAGCGCTGGCGATGATGTCGCTGTTGCTGTCATTCCATACATATTTTTTCGCAGTACAGGCCTCGGTGATATTACCGGCTCTGGCGTCTTTTCAGGTGGTTTTATACTTTTCTTCGGCAATATGATGGCCCGTTTCTGTGAAGAAGATGCGACCACTTGTGGTATACAGCCTGATGACTCCAGAGACTCCCCACGTGGAGTGATGTTCGTTAGTGGTCTCCGCTTCTGCGCCGATGCTCGTTCTCGCTTTGCGGTTGGGCGTTGTTTACTTCTTTTCTCCGTGCTGCTGCGAGAGACGGTGGAGCGCGGGGCGAGTCGGGAGGCCATCACGACATCCGTGTCGATGCTGGACGACGAGACCTCCAGCGTGACGACGGTGGCCTCCAGCACCGCGCCGCTCTCGCCGGGCTGCGTGAACATCTGCGGGGGCTGCAGCTGCGCGGCCGGCGGGGTGGCGGCGGAGTCCACGCGCGAGAGGCCCTCACTCACCGCCTCCTCCTCCGGCAGCTTCGCCGCCCACGCCGGCAGCCCGGCGGCGCCAACCGACACGATCGGCGGCGGCGGGGTGGTGGCGGTGCTGATGGAGACGGGGCTGGAGCCGCGGGTGGGCTCGGCCGCCTCGCAGCAGGGGTGGCTGGTGCCGAGCAGCCAGTCCGTCTGCGACTCGTTCGACTTGGAGAGCCGCTCGCAGCGCTCCAGCTCACGCAGCTCGTTGCAGAAGTCCGTCGTCATATTTTACAAGATGATAGAGAACAGTAATAATAATAATAATAATAAATGAGCAATGGAGGAAACCTAAAAAAAGAAAGAAAAACTCCTATTTAATAGAGAAACACACAAAACCTACTGTGGAAGAATAAAAGAATAGTTATATATATATAGTTATATATAGTTATATATATATAGTTATATATAGTTATATATATATATAAGCTTTTTATAAAAAAGTCCTTCTCAGACACGGTTCTCTCTCACTTTATTGTTTAACTCTTCTTCTAATATACGTTTTTCTTTTTATTTTTTCCTCCGTGTATATGTATATGTTTGTATGTATATGTTTGTATGTATGTGTGTTCCTTCTTTTGAGTCTTCTTCCTATTTTTTTTTTTTTTCCTTTGGCTTCTTGAGGGCTGAATATGCTATACGTGCTGAAAGCACACTTATTCAAGACCTCTAATAATGTCGTAGTTGTTTTGTAATCCCTCACCAATTCTTTACAATGCACACGTATATACCCAATTGTAGAAAAAAGAAAGAAAAAAGAAAAAGAAAGCACATCATAATTACAGTAGAAACACAATAGTAGTAGCAGTGGCAAAGCAAAAAAATAAAAAAAAATAAATATTCATCACATCTTCTCAATCAGTAAATAAGAAAATTCAAATAAGCATGTGTACAACGACAAGACTTGACATGAAGCGCTATATAGTAGCTCCTACAGAAAAACACAAAACAGCCGAATTTGAAAAAAAAAAGAAAAAGAAAAAAAGTATATCAGTTTCCTTATTTCTATTGTGGCAATAGTGATGGTGACAATGGGATTAAAAAAAGAAAAAAAAAGAAAGCAGGAAAAAAAAAAAAAAAAACACACATATTCTTTTCCTAGTGAGCACAGAAAAAAAGAAAAAAAAAAAATACATATATATATATTCCTTCTTTTCATTTTCCCCGTTTCAACGACTTTTATTAGATTGCTGAAAATATAGGGACAACTGGATGTGTCTGTGCATATTGATCCTTTTTCAATGTATATACACATTAATTATATAACTCTTCTCTTTCGCACACCGATATAATTTTCTACTAACACTTCGCCTTCATCTCGTGAATGTGCATTTCACTATCTTACTTTTCTCTTTAATAATAATAATACAGCTATTACCACTTTTTTTTTTTTCTTCTCAACCCCGTGTGTCTCCCAACATTGTTTGTCTTTTTTCAGTCGCAAGTAATAATAATAATAATAATAATAATAATAATATAAGGGAACAGAAAGAAGGAATGTGAAACAGTCAAGACGAACAAAACAAAACAAAACAAAAAAAAAAAAAAAAAAACATCGGTGGGGGAAGCAACAGCAAACATACTAATAATAATAAAATGAGAACGATGATTGCAGTGGATAACATATAGCATACGCACCCAACTTAAAAGAAGAAAAGAGGTAAATAAACTAAAATAAATAAAAAGAACAAAGCAAGCAAAATGAATAAAGACCTGTGGATGATAAAGATAGGGAAAAGAAAAGAAAGAACAAAAAACACACAGATACATGGAAATTATATTTCTTCCTTTTTAAGTATTTGTCCAGGAACAAACAAAGGATTTCTCATAAACGCATATAAATACCTCCAAATTACACACTCACACATACACACACACACCAAAAAAAAAGAAATACATAAACACACTATCTCTTCACTCTGCCATACATATATATATATATATATATATATCTACTATTAATTTATTTTCCGTCATACCATTGAGTCCACTTTCACAAGCGTTCTATAATTCGTCTTGTTTTTTTTTTGTTGATTTTTTTTTTTAAGTATTATTACTTCTTTCATAATCTCTCTCATTCACCTTCACAGCATCGTTAAAACAAAATTTTGGATTGCAGAACATTATCCTAAAATAAAATAAAAAAAGCATCACGAAAGTTATTATCATCCGCACATAGAAATAAAGAAGAAGTCTTGCTATCTTATTTTGCTAAAATACACACGTGTTTGGAGAGAAAAAGGGGGTGATCATGTTTTGACGTAGACATCACCACGGCAAAACTATCGTTGAGAGCGCAACACTCTGGACTTTGATTCTTCTTCTTCTTCTTCTGTCTTCCCTACTGAATGTTCTCTTATTATAGATATACAGAACCTTCAAAAAAAGAAATAATAATAATAATAATAATAATAATAATAATAATAATACTACACTTCATCGGTTTTTTTTTTTTTATTTCTTGTTATAGATTTTCTTTGTAATTCGCGCATTCTTCTTTTTTTTTTTTTCTTCCTCTTTGGTTCTTTAAACATGCCTTTACTTATTCCACGTGTTGTTCAAAAATCTCCCTCAATTTCTCTTTCCACCTCTATATATATATATATATATCTTTTCTCTCTCCCTCCTTCTTTTTTTCTCTCCTATTTTACTTCGTTGTCGTATTCGTCGTTTCTGTCTCTGTTGTATTCTCTGGTGTTATTCCTGTGGCTGTGGAGGGTGTGGCTGCGGCCTCTGTGTTTGGCGGCGTTGGTGTTGTGCGTGCGCTCTCCTCCTTCGGCCCCGCATCCGGCGGCGGCGTCCACCGCAGATGTTTGGAGAAGTGTTTGTGCAGAAACGGGTGCCGCAGCAGCTCCGCCGCACTCCACCGCTCCTCCGGCTGCACCCGCAGGCACTGGCAGAGAAAATCGCGGTAGAGACTAAAGCACTGAAACTCCTCCTGTGTCTCGGGGGACGTGCTAAACGCCTGCACCTCCGCTTCTGTCGGCAGTCCATGCGGGGGGCCGTTCATTTTCCCCACGCGGTAGAGAAATATGTACGGATTGAGATCGCCGCGGATATTCCACAGCGGCCGCTTCAACATTTCAATGCCCACGCAGCCAACGGCCCACACATCTGCCGCCGTCGCTGGTGCCGCCCCGTGAATGACCTCCGGCGCCATCCAGAGTGGAGATCCCTGCACCTCCTCTCGCCCCTCCACTTCGTGCAGTGGACCACTACAGCCAAAGTCTGCCAGTTTGCAGCGGCCCCGCTTCGTTACAAGAATATTCTCCCCTTTTACATCGCGGTGGACAATCGCCATGCTATGTAGATAGTGTAGACCACGGAGAATTTGGGTCATGTACTTTTGAATTACCGTCATGGGAAGGCTTCCAAACTTTTTCACCATTGTGGATATATTACCACATTCTACATACTCCGTAAATACTCGTAATTCACGTTCATGTTCAAGATATGTGCTTCCAAGAAAACGAATAATATTTTTATGACGTGCCGCACGAAGTACATCTAACTCTTTTCGCATAGAATAAAGAAAATCTTCATCCACATTTTCATTAACTCGAACCACCTTTACCGCAACTACCGTTGAGTAACCTGGAAGTAAACCAAGATATACTGTACCAAACGTTCCACGTCCAATTAAATTTCCAAGTTGTACTCTTTCTAAATCCTCTCGATTTATTGAATCCATCGCACCACGACGACTAACAGAGGATGTTGTAGAAAGGCAACTAGATGTACTAATTTGTCTATCAAATCGACTCATAGAAGACATAGAACGAAGAATTTCTAGTGTATTATCATTAAGTTGTAATGATACAGGCATTGAAGCAGTCCCTGCTGGAAAAAGAGAAGTAACAGATATTCTAGCATCTCCTCGGTTACGTAAACTACTTCCACTACGAATAGGGTGTTCTTTCGATGCACTCCCTGAGAGTAAATATGGTTCCAACCTTAGTAATTGTACAACCTTTGGATGACGTACTAAAAAATGATTTTGCACAACAGCATCTAAAAATACCTGACATTCTTCTCGACGTTCAGCAATAAAACTTTCCGTTACATATCGTGTACTTGGAATACGACGAGAGGGAGGTCGAGGTAATGAATGCATTATTGATTTTAATTCATGAAAAGTTGGAGCCAAATCTACAAAATAACGACGTTCAAGTGAATACAAATCCGTTTTTGTATCACGATCACGAACAATAAGTGTAAAAGCAAGTTTTTTCGCCTCAATCCCTTCAGGAGGAACTACATTACGTCTTCGAGATACCATACGTTGTGTTGTGGATTCCGCACCAGCCACAACACCACTATAATTATTGGTACTATTATTAGGAGTACCAGTAGTAGTAGAATTACTAGAATTACCAGTAAAGCGGTGATCATAGCCATTTCGAGGTGTAATAAGTGAACCACAACTTTCTTGACGTTGATGTGTTGAGAAATATCGTGTAACGGTAAATTTACTTCCTGGTGCAGAAGGAACGGGAACAGGAACAAGTGCATGTGTTGCACTCGTACTAGAAGAAGCAGAACAACGACGTCCTTTTGTAGAAGGTGATTCATCCGGTGACATGATAGATGGTCCCTCTACTACTACATACAAACGATCAATATTAACAGATAATGGTGACTTTGCGTTATCCATAGGGGTAGATAACCTGTGATAAGCTGTTGGCTCGTCCGTAAGTATTTCTTGAGTCCGTGAACCTTCTGCATTAGATGATGGCAAAGAAGAACAAGATGGCGACGGTGAGGAAGAGGAAGAGGAAGAAGAAGATGATCCTGACGAAGGTGAAGAAACTACAGGCCCACCCGATGTTTGTTCACTACGTCCAAATTGTCTATTGGCTGGATCAACATAAATAGATTGTTGCGGTTGCGATTGTTGTTGTTGTTGACGTTCTTGTTCCTTTTGCTGCTGTTGTTGTTGTTGTTGCTGTTGTTGTGGCTGTTTTTGTCTTGGTCGTTCATGCACTTTTCCTTTACTACGTTGTGTTACAGATGAGGTGGCTGAAACTCGTTTGGAATTTCTCGTACCAGAATCACTTGGTGTTATGGACTTTGCAAAGACGGCAGGTGCTGCAGATCTTCCTGCATCTACTGAAGACCGCAGAGAATTTAAACCAGAGTTTAATCCTGCTGTAGTTGCAGAGGTATAAGATGCTCCTCTTTGATGATGATGATGATCCGCAGTAGAAGCTGAAACAGTAACGGTATGAGATGGTAACTGCTGTTGTTGAGTTGAAGTTCCTCGTTTATTCTCACCGGGATAAGAACGTGCAGGAGTGAAACTCGGCTGTGCCTCTGGAGACCCTTCCTTGTGTCCCACATCAGAGGCACCTTCTAATAATCCAATTAATTCATCCGCTCGTGGAGTTTTAGGATGAGCAGAGCCTGCATCAGATTGCAATAACGGTGGAAGCGCATCAGTAGCTGTTGCTATCGTACTACGTTCATTACTTTCAGGTTCCTTCTCCTCTGCTAATAAAACGGAAAGTTTAGTTGGTACAACCAATTTTTCACGTTTTGTTTTGTTTTTTGGTCCTCCTGTACGTCCGTTAGAATTCTTTTGTACATTCTGTGCAGAAGCTGTGGGAGTTTTCCCACTATCTATAGCTGTTGCATTTCCGGTGGTCTTGTTTTCCTTATCATTGACTTTTTTACTTTCAACTTCTTTTTTATCTTGAACTTCTTTCTTATCTTCCTTTACTGTATCTTCTACTTGCTTTTTATCATTCCCATTTGTTTCTACTTGTTCCACCTCACTATCCTTTCCTACTACCTGAGGTACATGGGGTATAGATTTTCTTGGAGGTGCAGCAGGTGCTTTACGACGCTTTGGTTGTGATAAGGGAGGAGATGTAAGGGAGTTAATGGTATCATTCATACAACTATCCTCATTCGTTCCTGGCGTGGATGATCCTGCTTGATTACTCGCTGAACTTAACACATCCGTCACTCGAACTCCCGCTGCTGCCGCCTGATAACACGCTGTATGTGCAATATAATCCATAATATGCGGCTGTGATTGTCTATGGGTGACACTGCTGCCCCCTCCGCTTTCTGTGAGGGAAATGGAAGCGAATCTCGACCGTGGGGGCCGTATGGGCGGAATCGTTCTTGTCTCGCTGCTGCTGGTGTGTGTGTTGGTTGGATCGGGCGGAATGGAGTCGAGCTCCTCGCTGTCCACACCGCTCGAACTCGCCCACGGTCGGTGATCCCCAATCGGCGAAGGCACTATCAAAGTCCCGCTGGGCAGCCGCGCCCGCGTGGCCTGCGAGAGGAGTTCGTTCGCCTGCCGGTGTTGGAGCCGCACCCATTGTTTGTTGGCCGCCTTGCCAACGCAGCCGGTGCACTTCAGGCCGGAGCGGCGGAGCACAAAGTCGGAGCCAAAACGGCCGCAGACCACACAAAAAGTACGCGTCTCGAGAAGGACAGAGTCGGTGGCACAGGAGCCAATCACAGAGGCAGATTCCATATGTGAATTCGACATTTGGAATAATTACTACAGATAAATAAATAAAGAGAAATATATATATATATATATATATATATATTAGATTTCTTTATTTATTTTCCCCCTCCCAAAAACAATAAACGTCGCTAAGAAGAACTTTCCCAAGTAAAGGGAAAAAAACAATTTTTGTTGTTATTGTTTTTTTTTCTTTTTTTTCTTTATTTTCCTCTGACCTCTTCTTCTTATTCTTGTTTTTTTTTTTTTTTTGGTTTTCCCTCCTTCTCTGAGAAGGTTATAACTTTTGGGTATTCCTCCCTACTGTTTTCTCCTTTTTTCTTGCGCTTTTCGTTCTCTCTTCAGAAA